CATAACTTGTGAATGAATGTGAATATGAGATATTTGATCCATTTATATTTTTTTGTAAAGAGAATTTGGTATTTAAAAGGATTAGAACAGTTCTTTGTTCTGCTCAAGTAATACTGAATTTTTATTTTTTTCTATTCCTATATATGCATTTAGGAACTAGGAACTGACTTTAGTTTCTGTTACATGACTAAGTCAAGCACACTGTTTGGAATTATGGCATTTGTTTTCATTGATTTCCCACAGAATGTTTTTGAAGTAGAATCTAACATGCTTTCAATGTCATAAATTTCAGGCATTTTTTGGTATTTTTGATGGGCATGGAGGATCCAAAGCAGCTGAATTTGCATCTAAGAACTTAGATAAGAACATTTTAGATGAAGTTGTTAGAAGAGATGAGGAAGAAATTGGGGATGCTGTCAAATGCGGTTATTTAACAACAGATACCGAGTTCCTTAAGGAAGATACATCTGGTGGCACGTGCTGTGTGACAGCTTTGATCCGAAATGGAAACCTTGTTGTTTCTAATGCTGGTGATTGTCGCGCTGTTATGAGCAGAGGAGGTATTGCTGAGGCTCTCACATCGGATCACAGACCTTCAAGGAAGGATGAACGGGACAGAATTGAGACTTCGGTAAGTAGCTTCTAAGTTCTCTTTGTTTTGTTATTAATACCATCTATGATGTTGTGCAAATCTCATCTCGAATGCAACTGATGGATTGTGGTCAAAATTGTATTGTAGGGTGGATATGTGGATTTACGTCATGGAGTTTGGAGAATTCAGGGATCTCTTGCCGTATCCAGAGGGATTGGAGACAGGCACCTTAAAAGTTGGGTAATTGCTGAACCAGATACGAAGATCTTTCAAATCAAACCCAATCATGAGTTCTTAATACTAGCCTCTGATGGCTTATGGGAAAAGGTACGGATCTTCCTAATGAACCTCCTTCTCCTTGAACTACTATACATAACCTTACTAACTCCATCATAACATGACTGTTATGTACTTAACTAGATTCTTTCTCCCTTCTCTTTCAGGTTAGCAATCAAGAAGCCATAAATGTTGCCCGAGAACTATGCATAGCTGTTGATAAACCAGAACCATTACTTGCTTGTAAAAAGCTTGCTGACCTCTCTGCTTCACGTGGCTCGACTGATGATATTAGTGTGATGCTGATTCAGTTGGGGAACTACGTTTAATCCTCTGTTCTGTACATAATAGAACACAAGACTAACTCATATAGGCAATTGCAGATTGACTCTGCTTGGTAGAATATTGTAGCAGCAGTGGTTAAGGATATTTTGTTGGTGTAGCAGGATCTTCTAACCATTCTTTATGGGGATTTTTCACCCACAATTAATTTTTGTTAGCTCAGCTGGATACTCATATACATAGTTGAAGTTGATAGATAATACAGTCATTGTTCTGTCTATATTTAACATTTGTTATTTTGAGTCGTAAATTAATATATTCTTTTATAGCCACAATTTTCAACAAAATAATATTCATTTTGTTAACATCAATTTATGGTAAATTTTATTCTCCATCATTCTAGTTTCTATAGCCCTGCGAATCAAACATAACTTGCATCATGATATTGGCTGTTCTTGCTTTCACATGTTGTTGTATAACATATATGAGTTTTTAATTTTGAAATTTGAATTGTATTACGAAATAAAAACAGTTAAATTAAGAAAAACTTTTAATATTAATAGTTAATTCTTTTATTTAATTATATTCGTTATATAATCCAATATAATCTGAATTGTACAATAGTTTTTTTAAAATACGTATGAATAATTTTCACTTAATTTAAGTAAAAATTATGCCCTTATCAAAGAGTAATCTCCATGGAATTCTGCCCTGCCATCCTCTTTGTTTTGGCCTTTATATATTGCCCTTTTCTTCAATCATAATTATAAATCAAGAACGAGCAACTAATATGAACATAAAATTAATAAGAACAAGAGAACGGGGATCTGCTGTGTTGCGTTAAAACTAATTCAATCCTTTTCCTCAATTTTGAACCACAAAGAGAACGTGACAGAACATAGAGAGTTGCGTTTCTCTGTGTTGTTAAGACATCCTCCGCGCAATGCATGTGCCCGACATCTAACATCTCCTGTACATTTTACCACTTGTTAATTAGGATGTTTGGTTCATAATAGATATTGAATCGTACGTAACAACTGGCGACATTAAGTACACGTGAAACCTCAAGAAAAAGAGGCAGGAATTTGGCAAAAATCAGGAAAGGTTTTTGTAATTGTCTCCATGGATTCATAGTTTTTCATTATTGTTGTTGTTCATGCACGTTGGACGGTCGACCAAATTTTGATTGTGTCGCGTCTTTGTCTTGGTAGCCTACGGCAAATGTTCGGACCAGCAGAACAGATTCCTAATTTTCCAGCTTTCCAAACAACTTTAGTTCTAGAAGAGTTTTGTAAAAATGTAGTGTTAAGAGTAATTTTTTATTATTATAAATATACTTAAAACTATAAAAATTAATATTAATTTTAGTATTGATGTTAAATGAAAAAATTTAATTAAATAATTAATAAATTAAAAATTAACTTTAATTTTTTAAAAACAAATTTATAGTAAAAATATGTATTTATTATATTTTTAATTTATGTATTAAACCTTTAACTTATGCAACTGCAATTAATATATCTTTTTAACATTTATTAAGAAAGAAAAATAAAATTTAAGTTTATTTAATTAAAATGATTTACATAACATTTATAGTGAAATTAAAGATTTTTTAAATATTTTCTATATAATTAAATGCTAAAAAATTTATATTAACCATGATCTACACCCTTACATTTTTAATATTTTCTATATAATTACACGCTAAAAAATTTATATTAACCGTGATCTACACCCTTAAAAA